CACCAATAGTAGCCCTCCAGAACTTGACAAGCAGCATTGGCTGCTAGTAAGAGAGCTCCCATAGTGCAGAGTGATATATACCCCCAGCTCACACACAGCCATTGTTTTCCATTGGCAGCAGGTGCACTGTGCTTTACTTAGAGGCAGAGACAGAGAGGGAAGGGAACTGGAAGTCATTCCTCCTCTGAACAGTGGAGTTGGGGGTGTTTGGTGTTTACTTATGGCTCTGAGGCACCTGTCCTTCTGCTCACGCTGGGCAAAGAGGCTTAGCTTCATTGGTTCCTTGGCTGAGAACACCACCCCCCATTGGGCTTTGTTACTGCTAGCTCTGTCTGTCTGGGATTGTGTGAGGTGGAGTGGACTCAGGGCTCTGAGCCACCAGTCCCTCTGCTCACACTGGGCAGAGGGGCTTAGCCACTGGTTGCCTTGCCAGAACACACACACACACACACACACACACACTTATTTGTGAACACCTCCCCCCCAGCTGAGGTTGTGTTTGGTGCTTACTCAGGGCTCTGAGCCACCCGTCCTTTTGCTCATGCCGAGCAGAGGGGCTTAGCTACTGGGCTCCTTGGTTGAGGACCAACACCCTCCCTCATTGGGATTTGTGAACAACTCTCCCTGGGGCGGAGTATAAATCCAATCTCTTCTTCAATTTCTGCTCATGCTGAGCAGAGGGGCTCAGCCAGTGGGTACCTCTGCTGAGGATCCTCTCTCCCGCCTAATTATCAACAACATTGTTCTGTGCTATGAGGGTAAGAGGGAAGCCAGGGGTACTCATCGCAGGGGGAAGACGTCCACCCCCCATCCCACAGGCCCTTGTCCCTGTGGAACAAGCACGTCCTGTCAGCCCACCAGTGCCCAGCTGTAGTGGGGTGTCAGCAGGGGTCTCAGAAGTAGAGCCTCTTTTCCCTGATGTGTTCTTGGGGATGGGCTCAGAAACAGAACAGTTATTAGTTATTATTAACAGAACAAAGCGAATCGGAGCGGCTCGGGGTTAGGGGCCCCTCTTCCGGCCTTCAGTGGGGCGCTACTGGTGCCAGCACCGAGGGTCAGGAGTTTGGGTGTCCTCCTGGATGCTTCATTGACAATGGAGGCCCAGGTAGTGGCCACTGCCAAGGCAGCCTTTTATCACCTTCGGCTGATTAGGCAGTTGGTCCCCTTCCTCGAGCGCAATGATCGGGCTTCAGTAATCCACGCTATGGTCACCTCGAGGCTAGACTACTGTAATGCTCTCTACATGGGGCTGCCCTTGGGGCAACTTTGGAAGCTGCAGCTGGTGCAAAATGCGGCAGCCAGGTTGTTGATGGGTCTCCCCGGTGGGAGCACATCCAGCCTGTGCTGAAGTCATTGCACTGGCTTCCAATAGCGTTCCGGATTCACTTCAAGATGCTGGCTTTGACTTTTAAAGCCCTAAATGGTCAGGGGCCTGCCTACCTGAGGGGACCGCCTTTGCTGGTTTTATATTGTATGTTGTTTTAAATTGTTGTAAGCTGCCCTGAGCCGCTTCGGCGGGAGAGCGGGGTAAAAGCCCAAGTAAATAAATAAATAAATAGTCCTGCCAAAACCACAGCACACACTCCTCCTGAACCTGCAGCTGTGATTTTTCCCAGAGAGCACTTCTCTGGGGACACCTGCTTTGGGGGGCTGTAACTCACCCCCCTAAATCCAATCCTCACCAAACTTGGAGGGCAGGTAGAGAAGAGTCAACTGGAGACTCTCTGAGTTTGGTGCCTCTAGCTCATGGGGGTGTGCTCTACCACATCATGAACCTCAACAAATGGACCAGTTTGGTAAACGGAAAGGTCTGTGAAGGTATGTGGTTTGTGTGGGCTTACGAACCAAAATGTACCTTCATTTTCCCAGTTCTTGGCCATCCCTACTCTTGGTATTGATTGTGTCAGCATACACTGTGCTTATTAGATGCCTCTTGGTATGAATTGTTACCAGTTTACACTGCTTTTAATCTGTCTCAATGAGAAAGGCAAACAGTAAAAACAGTAAATAGATATCTGTGCAAAATATATGACTAACTCATTGTGTTTTGTATTTTTTAGAATGCCTGTCAGAAACAGTCTGAAGTTTACAGAAATAAAGCAAAGTGTCTGTTACAGAAATGAATGAACAACTCTCCACTCCATTTGAACTTTCCCATCCATTAAGATCATAATAACATTCTTCTCAGGATTCTAGTAGATAAATACATTATATAAATAAAAGTTAGGTGGATGGCAACTGGAGGAAAGGCCTTCACATTGGTTGCATATCAGTTGTGAAACTCACTTTCTATGCAGTTCATAATATTTGCCCCTATATAGGATGCATGTCATAAGTGCATTGTTCTGTAACTGGTTTTATTTTGGTTTTTAAATTGAATTGTTATTGTTTGAAATTATGACTGATTTGAGCACTTTTAAGTAGAATAATGGGATGTAGATTTTTTTTTCAGTAACCCATGAGCAGCAAAATTAAGTCTGATGGAATTACTGTGCAATTCTGAAAGCCAGGACCTGGACCCACCCGGGTCTTGTTTGCAAACCCACAGGGAAGGGTGAGAGAAGGGAGCAGCCATGGATCACCCTCCCCTCCTTTGCCAGGCAGAGGGGGCAGGCCCGAGGATCTCTGGGAACTTGGGAACATTCAATAATGCAAGGGATATTCCACTCTCTTGCTCCTTCAGCTTTCACCTCCTATGCAGCAGCGGCGTCAGCCTTCCTGGCCTTCTCCAGGGACGTCGGGGGTCTGGATGCCTGGCCTGTTTAATCAGATTTGGTTCTTCATTACATCGCCCACCTGAATGAGAGGCCTTTGCCCCTAAGACTATCCAAGTGCACATGGCCACCATATCGCTTTTTTAGTAAAGCTTGTAGTGTGGGTGCAGGGTTCACACGATGCAAATACGACAGGACACAAGTCTGCAGGAACTGACTGAAACCTCTCGGCTTCTCAGCGTTTATTTATAAGCTCAGTTTCCCCCCATTTCCCCCCTCCTCTCTCCCTCCTTCTCCCTGCATAAAGGAAAGTTACAAGCATTCTAGCATCCTTTTTGAATGTGTGTGTGTGTACAGGCTCTCTGCTATCTGTCTCTCCCCCTCTCTCAAGGCCAAACGGACTGCGTCATTTAGGCAGTCACCAGACTTCTACGCACTGACTTACTAGTTCCCAATTTCCAGGCAGGAGAACAGTGGATCCTTCTGCACTGCTCTCCTACAAAAGCTTATGGATTTTCTGATCCATGCAAAACATTCAAGGCCCGCAAAGCAGTTGAAGGTTAGTGGAGCCTTCATCCTAGGGCACCAGACCTCTGCAGGCCACTGATATTTGAGGTCCTGTCCATACTAATTACAAGGCTAACGACCACTTGCCAGTCGCCTTATGAGGAGGTGTTGTTTGAGGCAGCCTTCATGCTAGCATTTTTTGGAGCTTTGCAGGTGAGGTGATGGGAGTAAGCAGTGAAGTGGCTAAATTTGCGGATGATACAAAGTTGTTCAAGGTGGTGAAAACCAGTGAGGATTGTGAGGCACTCCAAGGGGATCTGTCAAGGATGGGCGAGTGGGCGTCAACATGGCAAATGGGGTTCAATGTGGCCAAGTGCAAGGTGATGCACATTGGAGCCAAAAATCCTAAATATAAATACACATTGATGGGGTCTGAACTGGCAGAGACTGAGCAAGAGAGAGATCTTGGAGTTGTAGTGGATAACTCACTGAAAATGTCGAGACAGTGTGTGACTGCAATAAAGAAGGCCAATGCTATGCTGGGGATTATTAGGAAGGGTATTGAAAACAGATCAGCCAATATAATAATGCCCCTATATAAATCAATGGTGAGACCTCATTTGGAATACTGTGTGCAGTTCTGGGCACCACACCTTAAAAAGGATATTATAGCTTTGGAAAAAGTGCAGAAAAGGGCAACTCGAATGATAAAAGGGTTGGAACACTTTCCCTATGAGGAAAGGTTAAAGCGCTTAGGGCTCTTTAGCTTGGAGAAAAGACGACTGAGGGGTGACATGATCGAGGTTTATAAGATTATGCATGGGAAAGAGCAGGTAAAGAAAGAGGTACTTTTCTCCCTTTCTCACAATACAAGAACTCGTGGGCACTCCATGAAACTGCAGAGCGGTCGGGTTAGAACGGATAAAAGGAAGTACTTCTTCACCCAAAGAGTGATTAACACATGGAATTCACTGCCACAGGAAGTGGTGGGTGCTACAAGCATGGACGGCTTCAAAAGGGAATTAGATAAGCATATGGAGCAGAGGTCCATCAGTGGCTATTAGCCACAAGGTATAGCTAGGGGCTCTGGGGCAAGTGATGCTCTGTCTTCTTGGTGCTTGGGGGGGGGTCAACAGTGGGAGGGCTTCTAATGTCCTGGCCCCACTGCTGGACCTCCTGATGGCACTGGTATTTCTGGCCACTGTGTGACACAGAGTGTTGGACTGGATGGGCCTTTGGCCTGATCCAACATTGGCGTCTCTTATGTTCTTATGTTCTTATGAGGGAATTAGTGGCTAGCTCTAGAACGGACACCTTTGGGGGTTGACGACCTGCTTGTAACCAGGTTGGGGGTTACTTTGGCCATCAGGCAGTCAAAGACAGATCAGCTCAAGTGAGGCCCCCGAGCGCTTGACTAGGCTTCCCGGAGGGGGCCCATGCCCGGTCTGGGCCACTCGAGCTTTCTTGGCAATAGGGCTTCGCAAACCAGGCCCACTGTTCATCCATAGGGACGGCTCCTTTCTGACAAGATATCAGTTCGCTGTGGTGCTGCAAGCTTCTGTGGCTGCCTTGAGACTCTCCCTTGGGGACTTCAGGCCATACTCATTTCGGATTGGGGCAGCAACAACAGCCTCAAATTTGGGCATGGGACCAGCAGGCATCCGGGCAGTTGGGAGGTGGTGCTCAGAGGTGTACAAGGCATATGTGAGGCCACATCTGGTTCTGGCCATTGAATGGGGAGCCTTGAACATTTACTCCTTTTCCCATTGACTTTTTCAGTTTCAGGGAGATGACACCAGTCAGTCTGGATTATGGCCACAGCATTGTGCATTGGGCAAGTGTTCACGTTATCACATCTGGTTGGGGAAAGGACTTTGGCCTACAGGATAAGGTGGGAGTGACTTGGTTGGGTGAGCGAGGGATTAAGTGGGATGACCTCCTCCCCAGGGTGTGGGCTCATTTGGTTCACCATGGGCTTCCCAATGCACTGGTGATACAACTTTGTGAGAACGACTTGGGGGCCCACTCTGGCATTGACTTAGTGAGAAGGGCCAAGGAGGATTTGTGGCCATTGATGGATGAACTTCCAGCCATGACGTATTTCTGGTTGGACTGACTTCAGTGCTGAAGCTGGCATGGTGCTCGATCTTCAGGCAAGGTGGACTTGGCGGGGCAGAAGGCGACTAAGCCACTAGGGAAGATCGTGGTTGCTATGGGAGGCCATTGGATTCAACATTTTGACATCTCAACACAACTGGAAGCCCTGTTTTGCCCAGATGGGATTCATTTATCTAACTGGGGTATGGATATCTGGCTGCATAGCATTAGGAATGCCCTATGCAATTGGCTACAGCTGTAGATACTTTGTCAGGAGCCGGCAGTCAGATGCCTGGCTCTTGTGGCGGTGTCAGCATGGGGATGGATCCATTATTAAAAAACATGGCCTACATACCCATTTCCGGAGTGTGGGGATCCCTTTAAAAGGTCTTGGCGTGAGGGGCAACTCCTTTGCCCAGCCCGGGGGCATGTCTGGGGAATTACCCTCACGCTCAGGTGGCAGGGGAGACCACCTCTGGGCTTCCGCCCTAGTGGGATCTAGAACCTGCCATCCCTAGGTGACCAACAGGGCACCGACTGATGGGCAGATCAGTCGATGAGCTGGATCCTTACCCCATGCTGTGCCAAGGCTTACTACAGCGGTGAGCAATAAAGTTGTGGCCAATTTTATTCCACTCTTTCTGAAAAATGTGTATGTGTGTGTTATTTCAACTGGGAAAAAACTTTAAATTAGTCTAGAATTTGTGGGTTTTAGCAGAACTTTCATCCTGGGTGCTCACCTCGGCCCTTCACCTTGGTGCTGGAGCCGTATACATTTTCTTGTGTGTAAGTGCTATTGAATAGACCTGCATATGAGAGTTCTTTTACTTTCTAGAGTTCAGGGATCTAAATATTGTGTATTTAATACATATAATGTGCTGAGCCAATGCAGAGGCAGTTTATAAAAAGATGCATTGATGACTTCTGTCCCACGTGCTCTTTCTTGAACATTAGAGTCTCACAGCTTTTCAGTGATTGCTTCCCAACAGTTATGGAAATGAAATTGGTTCTGCTGATTAGAAGATTAGAGCTGAAGTAAATGTATTTTTTTTTCATTACATGCATCTGAAAATACTTTTGGTCACCAACCAGAAATAGTTTAAATCTAATGTTCGTTTATAGAATTTCATCATCACCAATCTCAATATTTTTATATTTCTGACTTTGGTGTCCCAGAAAGGAACTTTAGAAAAGTATATAAGCATAGCATTTCTGCAGTTTGGGTAAGAGAAGGTGTACTGTTGTAACTTTATTGAATGAAAGCCACCTCTCTGAAAAATGTCTGAGCCCCCCCAGTAGGTTGCCCTTCCAAGTGCTTGCCAGAGTTGGGCCTGCTTAACTTCCACGATCTGATGAGACTGGGCTTGCCTGGGCTATCCAGATCAGGGCTATTGAATGAAAGTTTTGATAGAATTGACATAACATAGAGACTAGAAATAGTGTGATCTATGTGTTGGGATGTCCCTGGTTCAAATCTCTCACTGCAGGGCAAAAGTTCAGGATGGGGCCCCAGAATCACTGCCACCACCCCTGCCAGATCCAAGTGGGGGTGACTTTGAGTCTATTGTGATCCCTAGTATTCTCCCAAATATAATGTTCTTATGGGGACTGGAATATTCCCTGTGAATATTTATACACTGAGAGTCTTTATTTGGAAACGTCATTGCTTTTGGCAGGCAAGGATAAACCGCAGTCTATTTCCAATGAAGTTTTGTAAGCTTATTCTTTAATTATAGCTGCATTTGGGTCACTGTGTGTGTGACTTTAACAAAACAACAAAGCATTGTAATTGTATTCCTCTCTCCCCATTATTGAAGTAGCTAGGAAACTTCAGGGATTCCTGAATGAAGCAGATTGTTTGGATCCATTCCAATTTGGTTTCAGGCCAGGTTATGGGACTGAAATGGCCTTGCTCACCCTGGTAGATGACCTGTGCTGGGAGATAGACATGGGTGTGTGATCCTGTTAATTTTCCTGGCCTTTCTCTTCTGGACCACCTTTTGAGGGTTGGACTGGGATGCACCATTTTGTGGGGGGGTTGGACTACCTTGAAAGTAGGTTTCAGAGTGTGGTGCTGGGGGACTGCTACTCGGCCCGTCCTTTAAGGTTTCATCTTGTCCCCCATATTTTTTAACATTTACATGAACTGCTGGGAGAGTTCTTACAGAGATTTGGGGTACATATGCAACACAACTCTCTCTTGCACTGAGCAATGTACAGAGTTCAGAGTAGCTAGCTCAGGAAGGATGGCTCCAGAGCAAACTAATTTATGCAGCAGCGAAATCACTCACTCACAACTTTAATGCCAGTAGCTCGCAAAGTAGAATTTTTGCTCACAAGACTCCACAGCTTAGAGGGAGCATTGGTTGCCAGATAGACATGGGTGTGTGATCCTGTTAATTTTCCTGGCCTTTCTCTTCTGGACCACCTTTTGAGGGTTGGACTGGGATGCACCATTTTGTGGGGGGGTTGGACTACCTTGAAAGTAGGTTTCAGAGTGTGGTGCTGGGGGACTGCTACTCGGCCCGTCCTTTAAGGTTTCATCTTGTCCCCCATATTTTTTAACATTTACATGAACTGCTGGGAGAGTTCTTACAGAGATTTGGGGTACATATGCAACACAACTCTCTCTTGCACTGAGCAATGTACAGAGTTCAGAGTAGCTAGCTCAGGAAGGATGGCTCCAGAGCAAACTAATTTATGCAGCAGCGAAATCACTCACTCACAACTTTAATGCCAGTAGCTCGCAAAGTAGAATTTTTGCTCACAAGACTCCACAGCTTAGAGGGAGCATTGGTTGCCAGATATCACCCAATTTCCACCCCCACCTTTTCCCCATTGAAACTAGCCAAAAATTGCAGTCATTATTTCCACCCATGCATCAAACATAACCACGTGATATACAGAAAGTGCTAAGAAACCAGTCATGATTAAGTCAACATGGCTTCATCCATACATTGCACAAAACCATAGGAAGACTAACTTCGGTTTAGTTATTCAACTTCAAACTATGGTTACAGATCCTGGTTTGAGGGTCCCTAATTAATCGGTAGAGTGGCCTGCATTCAGTTAAGCACACTACTCAAAGTTTAATTAAATCATGGCCTCATGTTATATTTGAACGGAGCCACAGTGATTTTGAAGGACGTTGCAAAATACTCGTGAATTCTCCAACGCCTACCAGAAAACATCTCCTGCATGAGCCCCGTAGGAATGAAGCAGAGAAGTACAGAGGAATATTTCTGCACCTCCGGTCCCTTCTGAAGTGATCTGCTCAGCATAATATCCTAGTGGATTGCACCAAGTTTGTACCACAAAAGTATGCTAGCACACTTGATGCCTGTCCTACAGCTTTGGAATTCACTTCCTCTACAGTATCACCAAGGTTGGAGTCTTAACATTTTTCCAGAAGTGTTTTGAATCCTTGCTTGGGATGGCTTTTAATGGCTGACTTCTATACAGTATTGTAATATTCTAAATGCCTATTTTATTTTTTAAATATAATTATTTTAAACTGGCACAAAGCCCTCTGGAGGGGGTTCATTAAAGACTGAATTTAAAAAGCTTTAATAAAAATGTCAAAATACTACAGAAATAGAATTATCATAGTTTACATAAAGAGTAAAGATTCATCTTGGTGCAGGCCTTGGTGAAAAATATATGTTCTGGATCAGAAAAAGAAATAGAGATATTATTTATTTATACATATTTTAAAAGGATTTATATCTTTCAACCTGAAGGTTTCTGAATGAGCAATCCTAAATCAGTCTACTCAGAAGTGTCCCATTTTTTTCAGTCTCCTAGGAAAATTTTTAGGATTGCAGCCTGAGATGGTTAGTATTGTTGCCTTTGTTGCTAATGGGAAAATGCAGTACCAATATAGCATAATGGAGGAATCAGTAACTAGCCCAAAGTTCAGTTGTCTGATATTGACCCAAGGACCCCTTTATTTTGAAGGAAAGTTGTTCTCTCACCTGAGCCAAGAAAGAAGCTGTTTTCATTGTTTCAGTCACCAATACTTCAGATGTGAGCCACTGACTCACTTCTGCAAATGCAAAGACAAAGGCAAAGGATTCTTATTTGGGTGAGACTGCTCTCAATGTTGCTTTTCTTTTCAACCCCCTCCCCCCTTCCTCAGGCAGGCGCTTTCGGTTTTAGACTCAGACATACATGGAGGCACTTTCAGTTTCTCTTTCACACACATACAGGCAGGCACAGACACTCACATCCTCCCTCCCTCGCTGTTTCTACTTCACATTGACACTGAGACATATATGCAGGCACTTTATTTATTTATTTATTTATTTATTTTTGCGATTTCTATGCCGCCCTACCCAGTGGCTCAGGGCGGCTAACAACAATGTTTAAAATAGTAAAACAATAAAACAATTATATATACAATAAAACTGGTGCTTCGAATCTATACAGATCTACACATTATATAAGATGCTCGGCGGCTCATATTTGCGGCCCACAACTTAACGGTGAAAGCGTCACAGTGCTCCATGGAATCTGGTAGGAGGACGGCACATCAAGATGGTATAGCGATGGTGGTGGCGGCGGCTCCTACCCGAAGGCCTGGTGGAAGAGCTCCGTCTTGCAGGCCCTGCGGAACTGCACTAGGTCCCGCAGGGCCCGGATCTCTTTCTTACACACACACACGTTCTCCTTCTCCCCCCGCCCCCAGGCTGTTCCTCTTCACATTCATATACGGAGGCTCTCGCTCTCTCTCACACACACAAACACACACAAAACACATTATTTTTCTTTCCAAGGGATGGGGCTTGCTGGAGGAGGTCCCTCAGCGGGTGCCTTTTATCAAACAACAGAGGAACCCAGGCAGGCACAGAGGAGCCCGGCAGCTTCCTGCTGCCTAGTTTCCCGATGGCTGCAGGGCTGGGGCCGGGGGGGGGGGGGCGGGATTCAAGCACCTGGGTCAGACCAGCTACCCACTGCCCCCCCCCAGCCCACCTTACCTGTCCAGACTGGGGCTCCCTGGGCAGTGCAGCTGCTGGGGAGCAGCCAGACTCCACTCTTGAGGCAAGGTTGAAGATGCCAGCCCAGCACCACCACGTGTCGCCACCCCAGTGAGACCTGCTGGGAGTGGGAGGGGTGCTGGATGCTGCTGCTAACAAGGGGGTGGGGCTGCTGCCTGAGCCCAGGGACCGCCCACTCCTTGTCGGGCTGCCTCAGACTGATGACAAACTCAGAGCCAGATCACAGGACCCATGTGCACTAGAGCAGTTCTTTCTTGCACCAGTTGCCCCCGGGGGAGGCTCGGCATCTCCTGGAAAAGTTCAGGAAGGACTCAAGCTCCTCAGCCCCCCGTAGTTGACACCTATGCCAGGGAGGCTGTGGAAACCTTGAACAGGTGCCTGGTGGCAGTTTTGGGATGGATAAGGGATAAGAGTAGAAGCCCACACAAAAGCAAAATATTTATGTAGCTTGTCAAACAGTATCCAGGAGCTACAAGTCTACCTTATATGTCCTCACTTTACTCGAAAATATTTCTCTGTGTAAACCATAATTAAATAATGGCATTTCAGATTTTCAGGAAGGAGAGATACATGGCAGCCATTTCATACAAGCACACACCTCTTCCGTAAGAGCAGCATTCCTGGACATACATATATGCATGTATCCACAACCCTGTAAACTAGGTGGATTTTGTAATACTCTTATTGCAGAAGAGGAGCTGAAGAAGAGTTGGTATTCCTAAGGCCAACTTGCTGTTCCACAACAGAGGCAAGAACTGAGGATTTCTTTATTTGTTGTTTCTTAGAGTCCCTGTGCTACACTCGACTGTCATGCTTTAACATATCATGCAGTATTTCTGAGGTGGCCTATTTTAGCATAGTTAAAGGAGAGGGGAAAGACTGAAGTACTTAGCAAGTAAGAACGAGTTTGTCCTCTATTGATGTATAAAAGCAATCAATGGAAGTAGGCAGATATATTTTCAAGCTGGAAAATGCATTATGCCTTGAGGTAATACTTCTCTGACTTCTTGTACTCTTGCATCATTTGTACATAAGTCAAAATGAAAGCTAAAATGAAGACGTCAGTGTATTGTTTCAAAATTAATATAGATGTACCTTGTGGCTGAGTGTGCATTATCTTGAGATGCAGTGCTTGGCACGTTTGAGCCCGTTGTTGGAATTTGAAGGAATAATTCACCATTTTGGAAAAATCCGTAGCTAAAAATAATTACTAAAAGTTATAGAAGCTTTTAAGAGTTGCTGAGTGGTTTTCAGAGAGATTCATTTGTCCTGCTTTACTCACTGTCTTCTGCCAGCAGGTGAAGACTTTTCTGTCTTGTTTGGTATTCCCTCAGTGACTCTCCTTGTGTGTGTGTATCTAACTGTTTGTGTTTTATTGAATTGTTTCAAATATAAGCATTTTAAAAATGTGTTTTAATGTTTTGCTTGTTTGCTACCTCGGGAACCCTGAACTGGGTGGAAAGGCAGCATAAAAATGTTTTAAATAAATAAAAAAATAAAATACTCTGTGGATGGATCACACATTTTGAACCTGAAATACTAATGTTTAGTTGACAAGCTTTTTTTCTTTTGTTTTATTTTCAGGTTACATATTTGGGTAAAGTTTCTACGACAGGAATGCAGTTTTTGTCAGGTTGCACAGAAAAACCAGTCATTGAGTTATGGAAGAAACACACTCTTGCCAGAGAGGATGTCTTCCCAGCTAATGCTCTCCTGGAAATCCGCCCCTTCCAAGTTTGGCTTCATCATCTGGACCTCAAAGGAGAAGCTACTGTCCACATGGACACCTTTCAGGTTGCACGTATTGCTTACTGCACTGCCGACCATAATGTCAGCCCAAACATCTTTGCTTGGGTTTACCGAGAGATCAACGATGACTTGTCCTACCAGATGGACTGCCATGCTATAGAGTGTGAGAGCAAGCTAGAGGCCAAGAAGTTGGCACATGCCATGATGGAGGCCTTTAAGAAGACTTTCCATAGCATGAAGAGTGATGGCCGGATCCATCGGAATAGCTCATCGGAGGAAATGTCTCAAGAATTGGAATCGGATGATGGCTGATATGAACTCATTAATGATTAAGCAAAAGCAGAAATGGCCCTGGGAATAGAAGCATATAGATGAATAAGCAACAGTTCGGTTTGGGATGAGAGGTCTTCCCAGCACTTGACTGATTCAGCTTTTCAAAATAAAAAAGAGCAATTCAGTAAACTCCCACAAATGCATATTTTAAAATAATCATTACATTGAAAGCTGCTGTTTTATAATGTGTGTGAGAGAGAGCTTTTCATTTTCTTAAATTTTATTTTCCTTTCCTTCTCACCTCCCAGTTCCATTTTTGCCCTTTCTAATCAGGTTCCTATTTTGAAGATAAGATAATTATTTCCTTTTGCCTGTTGAAACCCATCTGTGTAGTTCTAATGATAACATCCTCTGAGATTTGTTGCTAAAGTCTACTGCTGATGCATAGTAGCAATCCAGAGCAGTTGCTAGAGAGAGAATATGATTTGGTGGCCTACTGCTAATCCTGTTGACCACCCCCAGGCTGAAATAGCTACACCGCCTTTTAGATTTAACAGCCTGACAGTCTCCAGTTAATTCACATTTCACAGTTTGAATATTTAAAGATGCTTATATTTACACATTATAATCATATGCTTTATTTTATTTTATTTTATTCATTTACCGTTTTAATGTACCTGCAGCCATTCATGTCCCACTTAGCACCCATAGTTCGTTTTGTTTTGTTTTTTTAAATACAAACTGCAGGAATACCAAAAGGGATGGGATGGAAATCCAATTGTGAATTCACTACCTTTGCATCCCTGTTTAAAGAAATGGAAAGTTGAGAGAGATCTTGTAAAGGCTCTGACTAGTACCATTTGGACTGTGATTTTTGTTCGGCCTCAGGCCTGGCATGGCAAGAGAGAGTGCTAGTTGCACAGCAGTCTTGTTGGCAATCACTTCTGTATTGGCTTCGTTACCTGATATTGCTTGTTCTCAGTGGTCAGGTTAGAGTTACCATTATGATCACAGGATGTCTAACAGAGAAAAGCCAAGGATTATTTGGGGTCATTTTGAAAGCAAATGGCTTGTTCTGATTTAAAACCTCTTGCTAATATTTCCTAAACCCTTTCCTAATCACAGATGAAAGGGTTCATAAAGTAAGATATTTTTTTTGTTTTAAACTTTAAGGCCAAGTGCTAATTGATAGTTTGCAGGTAATGCTGCTCGTTTATACAGTCTTGTTCATAAAACGTGGTAATGTTAGGGGCACTAGGGCACCTTACAGAAGCCTTAAAAGAGAGCTAATCAAAGCAAATAGTTATTGAAGTCTGTCCTGTTGTGTGTGAATACGTATAACGTGTGTTTGTGTATGTGTGTGCGTATGAGTATGTGTGATTAGTGTTAAAGCATGTAGATTGATCATGGGAACATACTGAGGAAGACTCACACCTCTTGAAAATATGCTTATTGCTTTCCAAGTGTATGTAAACAATTCCTGCAACATAAAGGCATTCATACTTTAATAAAAAAACGTTTGAATTAAAAATAAATAATTTTAGGCTCCATGATTTATGTGTATGTTCCTGTTTTGCTTGAAATACAATGCTTCACATTAATATCCCTTTTAAAAACAACAAACACTAATTCACAAGGATGCTATAGGGCTGAGTGACACATCATTTACTCTCCTAATTTTTAATTCCCTGCAAAAACATCTAGCAGGATAATAGAATTGTTTTAACAGTAATTTGTTGTGAAGCATTGAAATGTAATAATTGCTGTAAAAATTAGTTTATATTTGAATTTCAGTATGTGTGGATCTAGTTATATAATTCCATTTTTGCTGAAAATTATTTCTTCAAGCTATACATTTAACATTCGGCACTCTATGAAACAGATTCTCCTTTACTACTCTTCCAGTTAACAACAGAATGATGGAGATCTACACATTCCAGCTTCAGCAGTTTTGGGTGCATTTGTGAGGACAGAGACTTCAGCTGAGCAAAGAAAGACTGAAGTCACCATGTACCAACCAGCCAGGGAATCCCTCCCCATTTGATGGAAAAGGCTAAATTCTTCTTAATATATCTGTTCAGACAGGAGCCATGCATGGAAAGCTAGTTCAGAGCAATCAGTGAGTCTATGCTGTTTCCAGGAAATCTCTTAACCAGAGCTTACACTGCTCTGCAACAGTTGTTAAGGATACTGGAATTCTGATTGGCTAGGCAGATTAAAATAAATTTTAGTGGCAGCTGCCACCACAGAGTTGGTCTTATTCGCTCTTTCGCAGTGTGTATTTTAAATTACCCCTCTTCTCTCCAGCACTCGGGCTTCCCCTCTGTGTGTGGTAGACAGTTTTGATTGGCTCCACCTCCTATGGAAGCCATTTTGTGTTTTCAGCCACCCCCTTGTGTTGGAATTCCAAAAGATCCCACAGGCTCAAAAAGGTTGAGGACCCTTGTATTACAGTATAACTACATTGGTCTGTCTAACCCACTCCTATTTACACTGGCTGGTAGCACTTCTCCAAGGTCTTTCCTAGCCCTGCTTCCTGAAACCACAGTTTGAATCTGAAATTTTATAGATGCAGAACCAATATGTCTAGTGGTTATGTTAAAACCAAGCAATAAGATCTAAGTTAGCTTTGTAGTGAAATGAAGGTGAACTCTTCCTTGGAAAAGTGCAGTTTGTCTATTTACGAAATAACACAGTATGTCTGGAAATGGCCAGTATTTGAAGAAATTGTCTACTGAAAACAAATTAGCAAAAACTGTGCTTAGTATTGTCAGACCATTGTCCAATTAGAGTCTGTTTTTCATTGTTGATCCCATTCAGTTCAATTGCTTCCTCTTTCCACAATAAGCAACATTGTTACTAGAGAAATGTGTTGGGTTTTTTTTAAAAAAAAAATCAGAAGTAATGTTACTCAAACTGGACCCAGAGAAGGGGAAATTAGCTTTAAAAAGGGTTCCAGAAAGGAATAATGCGGGACCTTGTAAATCTACATATACAAGGGTGGATCTTGGTGGGGATATCCCAAAATAAAATTATAAAGAGAGTGAGAGTGACTTTAAGCACAAATAGCGTTACTGTATACAAAATAAAAAGTTAAAAAAGGGAGTAAAGAACCTACATTAAGCACCTGAGATTCCCTAAGTAATCACACATGCACATACACACAGCAACAAGGGGGGACACTTAGAAAAGCTAAAAGGGAGAAAACTGGGAAGTTTTAGAGAAGAGAATTGCAATCTTAAATCCAGGGTTTAGGGTATGGAGAGGTCCAGGGGCAGACTCAGTGGGGATCCAAGGAGCAGAAGGAAGAAAAAGGAGTCTCCAAAGCTTTTGCAGAGGTGTACAGGTAGTGGGAGAACCTGGCATACTTTTCACTGACCTGGGATGGTCTTTTTTATGGTGAAAGTTCCCATAGCTAGATGTGGGAACCCGCTTTCCCAGAAAAAGGATTGGTCCAAGATATGAAGCTTGAATTTGACTGAGCAGTTTGAGGGTAGCTGCTGTCAAAATCTGGTGGGAAATTAGGAGGGAAATACCTGGCATTCCAAGGTAGGACGATCAGATGGTTTTAGCATGTTGACAAAGAATCTGGCATGAATAATAGGATTAAATGTTTTGTTTACGGCCCAACCTGGGTGGATTGGAAGTTAGGCTGTGTTTATCAATAGCTGGATTGTATTAGCAATAATGTAAGGATTGCTCAAGTGTCTATAGCTGGAAATGGTTCATATTGCCTTGATGAAGTATCCCTTGCAGCAAGGGATATGATTGTATGAGGCATACCTTGGATTGTATTAGGCAGACACCTCCAAAGTGTGTCCAGATATTGGGTTATGTCCTTAGTGCTGAATTTTTTTTTGTTCTTTAGAATGATATACCACTGAGCTGGAGGAGATTACATTTAATCAGTTTCTAATTCCAGCACACCTGGAATTCTTTCCTGGGATTTCCAATATCATGGCTGAACCCAGGTGCCTTCTAGGGGTGTGCAAAAAAAATAATTCGGCAAAATTTGGATTTATTGAACCTGAATTTTTTCGGGAAACCTAAAAAAACCCAAATATCTATACCGGTAAAGCATAGATATCTGAAAATTTTCAGGAAACCCGAAAAATTCGGGTTCATTATATCCAATGGGGCCATTGAAGTCATGGCAAAAATCCTCTGGAAAGTTTGCAGGGGGCTGGGGGGGAGGGGGTTTGAGGTAGAGGCTCCAAGTTTGGACTGTGGCTGCTCCAGCCTCTCCCCAAATGACCCCCAACATTTTGAGAAGATTGGTCCGGGGGTCCAATTCCAGGGGCATCCAAACTGGGTGCCCCCAGATCAGCTTGCTGCCTATTGCCGGTTTGCCGCCAGAATTCGGTGGCAATTTGGCCCCATTATATTCTGTGGGCCATTTGGCACAATATGGGGCTTTACCGGTATAGATATTCAGTTTTTTCCGGGAATCCCAAAAAAATTTGGGTCCAATAAATCCAAATCCGAATTTTACCTTTTTTTACACACCCCTAAGAGGGGGTTTGAGGGAGAGGCTCCAAACTTGGAGGGTGGCTGCTGGAACTTCTCCCCAAGATACCCACCAAGTGTCAATAAGATTGGACCAGAGGGTCCAATTCTACCGGCCCCCAAATAGGTTGCCCCCATCCCTCCATTGTTCTCTATGGTGGAAAAAAAGTAACCTTTTCCCACCATAGAGAGAACAATGGAGGGATGGGGGCAAACTGTTTGGGGGAGCAAACAGAGGAACCCAAATGGGCCCAAATCAGAGTGGTTGCCAACTCTCCAGGGGGTGCCCAAAGTTTGAGATGCCCACTTTCCTGGGTTGGGAAATCATCCAGAGGGGTCTCACCGTACCTCTAGGAAGGCGGTGTGAATCTAGTGAGTGGTGGCAGCAACTAAGGAAGGAAAATAGCCCCACCCCCACCAGACGGGGCAGGCAAAAACATCCCGAGCCACAGAACGGCTGGCTGCTCGGTCTCCCAGGGCTGAGGGTGGATCTCCATTCCCTACAATGCAGGAAATTCACACAACTACCCCACACCCCCAGAGGCCCCTCCTCCATGCCCAGAAGGCGGCTACTAGTTGCCTAGCCTGGTTTGGAAATCCAAAGGTGCCCAGAGGCTAGCAGTAGCAAACTTACAGGAGCTATAGATCAATGTGTTCTCTGCCCATGAGACATCTATTGTCTTGCCTAATTTGAAGGAATGTCAGG